TTGCAGCTATACCCGTGTCTAGCACAGAGACTGGTGAAAATCTTGGCTTTCTTCCTGGACCTTCAAGGACACCGTTTTGATCAGCAATATGGTTAGGGTTATGGGTACTATTTTACACTTACTGCAAATAGCACCTACTTTTTATTTAGTGCAAGGAAATACTTTTTTGCTTTTAACACTTACTGTAAATACTCTGTGTAATAATACATGTAACTCCACTCATTTAATACAATTTTTAATAAGGCAGTGATTTTATACTTGTCATTATCACAAAATTAATCACTGTCACATAGTCTCTGATGAGAACTGTATGCCAGTAACACTTTAGAATACTGTTCCATCGTTAATGAATAACTATATAGGAACAAATGACTAATGCACTATTAACATTCTAGTAACTACTATTAACTATCAAGAAACTCTGATTAACTATTAAGTAGCGCTCGGTTGAAACTGGTAGTTCACTATTAGCTAATCAATAACTAATATTTTTTCATATCTCCTGGATAAATATGAAGAACTACTGTATACAGGTTCATAATTAATGCATAATGTATAATTAATTCTAAAGTGAAGATCATGATGATAATCCACTAGTAATGACTCAAGTATTACCAAATCCTTCTAAAGGAACTACTAATTACTTGGATCAGTATTCTAAAGTGAAAAGCATGATAACTTCCTAATATTGACTGATGTCATTGTAAGCTTTTGAAATATATGTAAGGTTTTGGATAGTAATGACTCATGTGTTACTACATCCTTCTGAAGAAATTATTAATTATTTGGATCAGTATTCTAAAGTGAAGATCACAGTAACCCACTAGTAATGATTTAAGTGTTAGCAAAATTAATCACTAACCAGAACCTTACAAAAACCTCAAAAGTTTACAATGACTTCAGTAATTACTAGGAAGTTATCATGATCTTTACTTTAGAATACTGATCCAAAAACTTAGGAATTCCTTTAGAAGGATATAGTAACACCTGAATAATTACTATACATACTTTACAAAACCCTCAAAAGCTTACACTGATTTCAGTCATTAGGGGAGACTGGGGATGAAAGTAACACGGGGTTAGTTGTAACACTTGTCAGTTTGACGAGTCAGAAAGGAGCTGTGGTGATGTCATCAATATCACTCCATTCACATTTTTAATGTTGCAGGAGAAGTGGCATGTGAATGTGAACAACATTGTAGATTTTATAACCAAAAAACAGATTTTCAGGAAAGAAAGTAATTTTTTCATTAAGATTTATTTTTATTATTTTATTTTTTTGCCTAGCAATCATTGTGTTGTAGATACAATTATTTGACTTACATAAGCTAAAGTAGCTGTTCCTCTAGTTTAATGTGATACTTTTGCATTCATGCTAACTTAAAACCCACATGCTAAAACAGTTAGCTATGTTATGGCTGCTTGAGATGGGGATAGTTCATTAAAAATGTTACAACCAACTCCTTATGATGATTCCAATGAGTCCAGTTATCCAACCACATCCTCTATTGAGGCAAAGTCATGTGAGGGTTTTTGTTGCAAATTAAGGGATTTATGTCAAATGTGTTTCCATCATAGTTTATGTGCATACAGCTGGTAAAATAAGTATTGAACATGTCACCATTTTTCTCAGTAAATATATTTCTAAAGGTGCTGTTGACATGAAATTTTCACCAGATGTCGGTAACAACCCAAGTAATCCATACATACAAAGAAAGCAAAACAAATAAGTTCAGACATTAAGTTATGTGTAATAAAATGGAATGACCCAGGGAAAAAGTATTGAACACATTAAGAAAGGGAGGTGCAAAAAGGCATGGAAAGCCAAGACACCAGCAGAAATCTAGCAGTAATTAGAAAGCAATCCTGCCCCTTGTCAGTGGAAATTTATATTAGCTGGTTCAGTCCCAACTGATGGCCTATAAAAAGGTGTCTCATGACCAACGTGTCACACAAGAAACATTTCATGATGGGTAAAAGGAAAGAGCTCTCTCAAGACCTTCAAAACCTTATTGTTGCAAAACATACTGATGGCACTGGTTACAGAAGGATTTCTATACTTCTGAATGTTCCAGTGAGCACTGTTGGGGCCATAATCTGGAAGTGGAAAGAACATAATTTCACCATAAACCGGCCACGACCAGGTGCTCCTCGCAAGATTTCTGACAGAACAGTAAAAAAAATTATCAGAAGAGTTTTCTAAGAGCCAAGGACCACTTGTGGTGATCTTCAGAAAGACCTGGAATTGGCAGGTACAACTGTTTCAAAGAAAACAATAAGTAACGCACTCAACCGCCGTGGCCTCTATGCACACTCACCACGCAAGGCTCTGTTGCTGAAGAAAAAGCATGTTGAAGCTCGTTTAAAGTTTGCTGCACAACATTTAGACAAGCCTG